GAGCGCACTATGATTACGCATGAGCAGTTCTTGCAGCAGGCGAGCTGGCCTAAGGTCAGGCCTATTTTTGGAGAGGGGGCGGGTGCCTCTGGTCCTAATGATGGTGGCGCTAAGGTGGATAATGATGATGATGATGATGATGATGACGATGATGTTGGTTCTGAGAGCGTGGAAGGGACCGAGTCCGAGGAGGACTGATTTTTTTTGTTGACATTTTGATCTTGTGAGCGTGAATTCGAGCAACTTCCTTTGGACATCAAAGTGAAGTACTTTTGTGCTTGAATCGTTGCTTTTGTTGTTTTTATTGTACTGTTATTTCAGATTTTGGGCTCTTGTACTATTTTGGGGTGTTTTTTTCCCCATGCACGTTTTATTAATGTTTAAGTAATGTTAAGTTTTTATGTTTAAAATATTTTGTTTCTTTTCAAGTGGTTGTTAATAGTTTCTGGTTGTTGAGCTTTCTAAAACTTCTAGATTGGTTGCTCTCTGGAAAGAAGTACCCAATGAAGGTGCATCCGAGTTTGGATGGCGATGATAATAATTAAACAAGCGAATAATGTCAAGGTACATGGTTACCTTTTGTTAGAATTTTAAAATGCTTAAGGACTTTAATCTTGTTGTAAATGAATATTGTTCTTTTGGCAACATTGTTGGATGAATGTTTCACTAGGACTTAGAACCGCAAATTGTGAGGAAAACCTCTATTGTACACTAAATGCTAGATTCTAATAAACTTTGTTGATTCATTTGATTCATGCTTTATCTTTTATTATTGTGAATTTGTGGAAGCAATTAGAAATGATCAAGGCAATTGTTTTTTATCAAGCACAACCAGTTCCAAATGCAACTTATCTGTGAGCAGAGAGTATTCGTGAACCCCTTGAGCCTAAACAGTGTGAATCTCGGTCTGAAATTGTGCGAGATTCCAAAAAAAAATTTCTTGAACCCTTGAATTTTGTGTTAATTGTTCTCTTTGCCTTAAAAACTCAAGAGCATTCACTTGAGGGTTGAGTAAAAGCTAAGTTGGGGAGAACGAAAAAGAAGTATGGTAGGTTGCTACAACTCTTGAAAAATCAAGCAAGCATTGAGAAAAAAATTTGTTGTTATGTGAATATGATTGTAAAATAATAAAAAAAGAGAATGCTTGCTTGGAAAAAAAAAAAAGAATAAGTGTTGAACTAAGAGTTGGGAAGGTTTTCAAATGAGAAACAAGTGGAAGGAAATTGTGATGTGTAAATAACTTGTACAGTGAATGCCTCTTTTGCATCGGCAATTTTGTTTCAATGGCCTAAGATATGTCCCTTGTTTGTAAACCCGACCAAGCTACAACCGGAAAAGACCTTAGTAATATTCTTGCTTCCATATTTTCATCTATAATTGTTGGATATTGTATGAATTGGATTGATTTTGGCATTGTTTGTTAGTTGAGTGAAATTGTCCCCGCGGTTGCAAATGCGTAATTTATTCAATCCCTATTCGAAGAGGAGAGATAGGGTGATTCATTCAAGATAACATTGTTGTTGATTGATATATGTTTGGCATTGCTTTAAGACTTTAGTTCTTTTGTGCTGTTTTATTATAACCATTGGGAACTTGTGTTTGGTTGCATTCCTTGTGTTAGGTTGCATTCCTTGTGTTTGAGCCATTTAATCCAATTTCAGAGAAATCTTTTCTTGAGCTAATCCTCTTGTTTCATCAGGAGGCATACTTTGCTTGAGGGCAAGCAAAAATCTAGTTGGGGAGAGTTGTTAGATGCCTAACTTTGCTTATTTGATCTATCAAATGTGGGCATCTTTCACTCCTTTTTGTCAAGAAAGTGTTAAAAATCACTCTTGCTTTGGCTGTTTTGCAACATTATGTGAAAATATCTTGGTACCTTTGATTTGTATGTTATTGTGCAGGAATTAGTCATGAAAGAGTGGAAATTAAGACACAAGAAAGATGGCAAAGAAACCAAGACAGTATGCAAACAACAGCAAGTTCGCCTAGCAAACTTGCTAGCGAAGCTGCCACCAAAACATCATAAAGTTCGCTAGACGAACTATGTAGCGAAGGTCAGGAATCCAAAACAGTAAGGAAAGGGCCATAAACTCGCTAGGCGAAGGAGGCAGCGAAGAGCTCGCTAGGCAAAGTGTTAGCGAAGAGGTAGCGAACACTCCCAGACTTGAGACAGTAAGGAAAAGGCCATAAACTTATTGTGCAAAGTTTGCAGCGAAGGCTTCGCTAGGAGAAAGTTTCTTCGCACAACGAACATTGGGATTTCTATCTGGGGAGCTTTCACAGGACATAGGCACTTCAGGTGCCATTTTAGGTGTTTGATAGGCGAACAATTCGTTCGCACTGCGAACGTGACAGCTCAGCAGTCACTTCTATAAGTAGTATGAGCTAATTTCCGTAAAAATATCTAATTTTTTGTACTTGAATTTGAGAGGATTTTCTGACCTAGAAAATTCATTCCTCCATTTCTCATAATCTCTTAGGAATATTTCACAAAAAGAAGGTGGATTCCCATCCAATCTCGATTATTCGACTCGCATGTTGATCAACCTTCTTCCGAAACTTGTTGCTCAAACTATCATGGAAATGGTTGGCTAAATCCCTCTCTTGTCAAGGTTAGAAGTAGTTAGTTCAGATTTTATGTATTCCATTTGATCTTTTGTATGTGAATAAATATTGTGATAAATATAGATGAAGTTATTTGCTACTCTTTGTATATTTATGGTTTTGAATGCTTTAGACGTGAACTTTCCAAGTCTTTACCTAATTTCTTCATCTATCAACTATACAAATTCTAGACATAGGTTTGAAAGTTGATATCTGTTTTGTATTGATCTTAATGCTTATTGTTTCGATTGTTACTTAGAGAGATCATTTAACGGTCGAAATAATAACAACCAAGAAATTGATTTAGACATGAACGTTTTTGCGAGGATACACGGTTATGTTGGTTAAAACTTCGTTCACATATTTGATCGGGTGAATAAGTTTAGGATGGACTAGCGAACCCTAATCTTGACATGTTTTTATCAAACTTAGACCGAATTTTATTCCGCTTTCTTTCTTGCAAACTTTAGTTACGAAAATTGAAACCATTCTAAAAACCCCTTTTCTTAAGACATTAAACTGTTGAACGACAAACATTTATATTCTCTTCAATCCCTGCGGAGACGATAAAACACTATCCCAAAATACTTTCTAACACTTCCCACGAATCTCTTAGTCAGTGTTCTAGATACCAAATGTTGGAATTAACCCAAAACTTTGAGAATTCTGAATCTATCTTGATGAACAAGATTCAATCAAGCGATTGAAATCCTTTGTTTTTCACTCTTCACTTGAGTGACTCAATCACACCTTGATTGCAAGAATGATTCTGCACAGCAATTATCAATGGAAGAAGAAAGAAAGAAAACTGAATAGGAAAGAAGATTATGGTTTTACAAAATAAGGGAAGAGGAGAATGATTTCTGCAGAGTAACTCTCTGCTCTAAAACTGAGAAAATATTATTCAACTGTGCAATTGCACTTTCTATTGTGTGTTACAATATTATTCTCTATTCTTTTTACTCAAAATAGGGTTATTCCCTCTATTTATAATTGAGTTACCTTGCTCCCTAAGGTAAAACTTAAAATTTCTGTTTTGGTCTAAGTCGAAATCCTATGTCAAGTAATATGCTTCGACACTTCAATATCTAACACAACTCGACATACACAATAGACTAATTTTGACATATCCTTATTTCTGTCGAACTCCACTTACTTCGATAGAAAGAATTAATGATCTCTTAACATTTGTATTACTTTCATTTTAATTCAACAATTAAATTCTCTTATTTTATTTTATTTTCATTAAAAATAATCGACTTTATTTTGACTTCTTAGTTTTTGATACTTAATTGAGAATGATAAAAAAAAAACTTAGATTAGTATATGAAATTTTTGTCTATCCTCTTGCATTAAAAGACATTATTTTTACATTTGTTACTTTCTCAAAAATTATAAATGAATAGTATCTATTTTAATTTAATTAAGAGGTAATGATGTAGTGGGATTAGTGGGGTTTGAACTTACCCTAAAAAAGTTTGAAATTAATTTTCTTTTTCATAATATACACCACGGAGAATTATTTATACTGCAAATTATCTCTCTATTTCATCTCATTTACACTTTACGTCTCAAAAAATAAATGTTTTTTTAAAACATCAATATAATATTTATTATTATTTTTTATTATTATATTATTATTTATTAATTTTTACGATTTTCAATTACTTTATTAACTATAATAAATAAGAGTATTTTAGTAAAAGATATTCACTTTTATCATTAAAATTAATACATGCGTAGAACTCAAATAAAACATTTATTATGAGACGAAAAGAATATTAAGTTTTTCACGTTATTATCGAAAAATAATTTTTTAATATTGTAATTTCATTATTTCACCGTTTAAAGTAAGACAATTTTCTGTTCTTATTATATTTTTTACCATATATAAAGAACCGGAGCTCGCTCAAGAAATCTCACCCAGCCGATTGGCAAAATTGAGCATTATTTCAAAATAAGATGCCAATTAAACAAATTCACTTGAACTCAAATGATAAACGAACTCTAACTAAGAACAAATGTTCGGAGAATATCGAATTTAATTTTTGATGTTTAGTCAGATCTATAACTTTTTAAACCGAACTCTTGATTACTAGTGGTGACTCTGACCCATTCCTCTAGTTGAACTCTTAATTAGATTCCCGCCCATTCCCCTAGAACGAGAGGGTGAAAAAAAGAAATTTATTTCACTGAAATCTCCAGATTTTAGAGTGTGGATTTAAAATTTTCGTAAATACAATTATCACGCGTATTGAGAGTGTGGTTAGTACCCGTTTTTTTTACTCAAGTTATTATCTACTGTTTAGCCTACTTTCTTTTTCTAAGTTAGCATGTTAGTGCAAGTCAAGAAAACGCCAGAGAATTTTGTATTTCATCTTAATAGCCATTTTTTCTTATTTTATTGACTGTGGCTCCCCAACAAAGAAGCTATTGAAGTTCTTTTCATCAGGACTAGATTTCATGCAAGTAACATCTTTTGGAACTAACAAATGAAGCCCTGAAAGATGTCCACCCCATATATCATATGTATACTCATCTGCAACTCCTAACTTTTTTGGTGCTAATACACTCTTTTGCTTGTTAAGTTTCGGTCCCGGAGCTCGACGACTTAAGTTAACACTAGATGTTGACACTAACGACGGAGGTGTAGCCGGCATGGGAGGAGGAGAAGCAGCATAAAACATCTTATACGGTATACTAGCATCACTTGATGAAGGTGAAGGTGAAACTGAAACTTTAGGAGAAGCAGCATTGTTGGTAAGGGATTTTACCGGAACCCTATGCTTTGATGTATTTTGCTTCGGTGTATTTTGCTTCGATGTATTTTTCTTGGAAGCAGATGCAGAAGGTTGAAATTTTTTATGATGTTGGGGTTGCTCTACATCAGGAGACAATGGCCGGGTAGATTTTGTTGATGATGGGGCGACCGGGGACAAGGGTGTAGAATTTCCGCTTCGACTGCTTGAAACTTCAGACACTGCAGTTAACTTTGCGGTGAAACTCTTATTATTATTCTTCTTTCGTCTACCTTTTTCTTTTCCTGTTTTGATTTTTGTTTCACTCTGTTGGGGTGGTTTCGTAACGTCAGAGCTCTGAACTGCAGTTGTTGGCGACTTTTCTTTCTTTGGAGTATCCAACAAAAGACTAAACTGTTTACGGTTTTCCGAATCCTGGTCAGAGGTTTCGCTTAGGTCATATGAATATCTGACACAGGTGGCTTGAATCGGCGAGGTTGTGCCTTTTCCAGTTGAGCAAACCATATTTGTCATTTTACCGGACATCGATAACTTATCCTTTCTCTGATTACAAGGCAGAACTAGCGGAGTTTTCCCGGAATGTTGTAAGGTGATGTGCACGGAGTTACTATCGTTCTTGCACAAGTAATCCAAGGACACCATGAAAAATAAGGATGCAAAGAGTATGAATCCAAGCAACCATTTTTTGACTCGCGCCCAAAACAAGAACCTCTTACAGTTACATAGCACATCAAACGGGATACTTGCCTTCATTGGAATTAGAAAAATGCCAGAAGCCAAAGCGAGTTCAAGATCTCGATGTACCGTTGCTGCAGAGAAATCGGTTTGGTATGATATCAGAAGCTTTATCGACTCACTGGGATCAAGAGAAAAACCTTTACAATCTTGTATCTTAAAACCATCCAACCCACATTCTCTCCCAGAAACTCTCATTGATTTCACCTCCAACGGCAAATCCCCTGTGTTCTTCGCATATATCTCTTTCACTAAAGGCTGCGAGCAGACAGAAATCATGTCTTTCATGTGAAGTAACGAATACGAAAGCGAGAAACCGAGGAGATTGTGCATTTGAAGATCAAAATTAACACTCTGAACATGCTCAGACCTCTCGAGTAAAGCTAGAGAATGCAACCCTCCAATGCCTCTTAAAGGTATCAACTCTATCCCAGTGAGATTGTTTCTGATCAACGCTGAACCATTCCATCTACATCGCTTGGATGGATAAAATATTATCGGACCTAGGGTTGCATAATCATATGGATTCACATATGCCTCTGTTACTGCACTCTCGGTCACAGAGAATCCATACTTTGCTGCAGAAATAACTTCATCTATGACTAAATTAGCCGCTGAAAATTTTTGTATTATATCATCCGGACCTCTGCATTCATCAACCATTTCTTCTGTGTTCAAGATAAGCTGCACCGTAACAGGACGGTGGCTAGGATTCTTTACAGTGATCCACTTAGACACATAACTTCCAACTTGAACCATTGGGAACAGCACCTCAACGTCTTCAAGCAGAGACACCCGATTTCCAAACACTAATTTATCTACATCTGCTGTCTCGGTAACCTGCATATATAAGTAGCAAAATTATAAATTTTCATATGAAAGGAGTTCTTCTGCTATTTGCATCTACACTAGCTATGATATAGTATAAACTTCAAGGTTAGAGATGCACAACAGTAGCTACGCGATAGTATCAAATTATAGAACTACATTAAGCAATTCTATTGGCAGCTTTGAAGCAAGAGTACTAGTAGAACAACAGGGAAGTACCCGTACCGGATATGTACAGGGTACGGGGTATCGGTACATAACAGGTACTCTCTTGTTTAGGTGATATAAATTTTGATTTACAAAAGTGAAAATAATTCATCGACAAATATATTGAAAAACTTATAGACAAAAGCAGCTACAATACCTTGATATTTGGAGGCAATCCCTTGTTTCTCACCGCATACTCAGCTTTGGTTTTGTCTTTGCTTCCTACAAATGAAAGCCTTTGATACTCGAAACAGATATTCGGTGCGTCTTCACACGGAATCTCAACCTGGGGACTAGTTGTGTCATTCGTAAGAACAACCAATTTGCAATTCTCTTGCAAGTTGGATACTTCCGGTGACATGTTACGTAAATCAGTGTGCAGATTATTACAATAAATAACGCCAACATGAATAACAGCATTAGGGGATAGCAATAAGCCCTTTATGTTACTCGTCACCTCGCTATCTCGAGCTAATCCGACACAAAACGGCCAATTGCACTGATTACCAGAACCTCCTAAAGAACCTGCTTTAAGACTCAAAGGAGCGCGGGATGAATGTGTATCCGGACACAGATTCTGAAAACCATTGTGGATTGAAGGAGATGCAGAACCTAAACCGCCGCCAGCAACAACAGTGCCTGAAAACCCTGAATTGCAATTTTTCTCTAAAGACTCACAAGCACTATATTCTGGCGAATTCGGTCTCAAATTTGTAGAACACATCCCGTACGCAGATAGACAAAAGAAAATATATAACAGAACCACAAAACAATTGAACGTCTTGCCCTTGCACAACAATCCCCTATTCGAACCAAAAAAACACATTAAAAAATTAGTGCAATCATCAACTAAATTAATATTCAAACAAAACTTCATTAGCAACAAATAAACCATTCAAATAAATTCAAGCAATCACTAATCACCTCCTTTACTTACATTTCAGCACAGCACCAAAAATTCAAATAGCGAATCGAAACCAAACAAACCCAAAATATCATAATTTATCAATCACTAAATAAAACCAAAGAAAGCTTCAAAATTGTTATAGAACTCATTGTTTACTAAAATAAGTACTAACAGATAAAAGCTACTACTACACTACAACATTAAGTAATGATTACAGAACATAAACTTTCACTCACCACACAAATTTCATGTGTTATACATTAACAAAATCAAAATCACAAACGTATAAAACATTGTTGAAGTAATGATATTGAAGAAGAAGGAAAATTATTCCTTGTTCAAACCGTTACATAGACTTAAATTTATTACCATAAATACTACATTAAAACATTATTAACACTATAGTACCACACTACACACTACACTAAGTAATCAAAAAACTCATAAAAAACTTAACTTTACTAAATTAAATTAAGACCCTTTTCAAGTGAGAAGAGCATTGTATTCAACTTTTCCAGAATCATAAACCCCAACAAAAAAAATCAAGACTTTAAGAAAAAGAAAAAGGAACCAGCAAGTGAAAACTGAAAATGAAAAACCTATAAGAAAAAAAGTTGAGAAAGTGATGGAAGAAAGAAACGTAAGCAACGAAGAGTGTAGCGAAGAGATAAAGACGGAGAAAAATATATGTAAAAAAATGGAGAGAGAAAGATGAGAGAGAGAGAGGTGGCGTACCGGTGGAGAGAGAACATGGTGGCGAGTGGGTTTGAAAGAGTGAGGATTAGGATTCGGAGCTCCATAGAGAAACAAGACCCATGAAATGTTGCAGCAAATGAAATGGATGGACGAAAAAGAAAGAATATTGCAATAGCTTTTTCACAAATATAAAATACACCAATCTTCTTCTCACTAAGACCAAAGTAAAATATACCATATGTAATTTTCTTTCCACAAACCATATTATATAGTGGTATTCCATATTAATAAAATATAATAATATTATTAATAATTAAAATTTAGCAATATGGTAATAGTTTTTTAGTATATAATGAAAACTTAAAATAGTGAGAATTACATGTATTTGTCGGTTCGGTTGCGTGTTCGATAATTTTTCTAATATGTTTGAAATTTGCAATTAAGTTATTTTGACTAAAACGTTTATAGCGCAAATTACGGATGCAAAGCGACATAGGTTAACTCAGATGCACTGAATTTTATTCAAACTTATCAAGACTGAAATTGTGGTTTTTAGGTTATGTCATTGTTTCTTTTTCACCCGGGTATTTGTTTTCAAAACGCTTTTCAATTACTAATAATTAAAATTTAGAAATAAGTTAATGGTTTTTGTTTATAATCACAACTCAAATGATAGTGACATGTACATGTATTTGATAGGTTAGGTTGCGTGTTCGATAATTTTTTAAATACGTTTGATTTTTGCAATTAAATTAGTTTGACTAGATAAGAATAAGCATCATTTTATAGCGCAAATAACGGATGCAGAGTTACCTATGCTAACTCAAATGCATTGGATTCAATTCATGCTTATCAGGACTAAAATTTCAATTTTTAGGTCATGTCATTGTTTCTTGTGCACATGAGTATCAAAATACATATTTGTTTTTTAAATTCTTTTAAATTACTAATAATAATAATTTAAGAATAATTGAATAGCTTTTAGTCTATAATCACAATTTGAATGATAGTGGCAAGTTCATGTATATTATAGGGTGGGTTGCATATTCGATAATTATTCAAATGTGTTTGATTTTTGCAATTAAATTAGTTTTAGTAGATAAGTATAAGCATAGTTTATAGCGCGAATAACAGATGTAAAGTGACATAGGATAATTCAGATGCACTGGATTCAATTCAAGCTTATCAAGACTGAAATTATGGCTCTTAGGTCATGTCATTGTTTCTTATCCACCTAGATGTCAAAAAATATATTTGTTTTCATAGTTCTTTTCAATTACTTATAATTAAAATTTAAGAATAAGTTAATAGTTTTTAGTCTATAATCACAACTTAAATGATAGTGGTAATGTATTAGATATGTTGGATTGCGTGTTCGATAATTCTTCAAATGCGTTTGATTTTTCAAATTAAATCAGTTTCACTAGAAAAGAATAATTTATAGCGCAAATAACGAACGCAGAGTTACATTGGTTAACTCTGATGCACTGTATTCATTTCAAGCTTATCAATACTGAAATTGTGGTTCTTAGGTCATGTTTTTTTATCTTGCGCACATGGAGGTCGGTCAAAATATATATTTGTTTTCAAAATTCTTTTCAATTACTAATAATTAAAATTTTGGAATAAGTTAATAGTTTTTTAGTCTCTAATCAAAATTTAAATGATAGTGGCAAGTACATTGTATTTGATAGACTGGGTTACGTGTTCGATAATTTTTCAAATGCGTTTGATTTTTGCAATTAATTTATTTTGACTAGATAAGTATAAGCGTCGTTTATAACTTAAATAAAGGATGCAGAGTGACATAGGTGCTTCTTATACACATGGGTGTCAATATATGTTTTCAAAATTCTTTTCAATTATTAAAAATTAAAATTTAGGAATAAGATAATTGTTTTTAGTCTATAATCACAACTTAAATGATAGTGGAAAATACATGTATTTGATAGGTTGGGTTTCGTGTTCGATAATTTTTCAAATGCGTTTGATTTTACAATTAAATTAGTTTGACTAGATAAGTATAAGCATTGTTTATAGAGAAAATAACTGATGCAGTGTGACATTAGTTAACTCTGATGCACTGAATTCAACTCAAGCTTAGCAAGACTGAAATTATGGTTCTTAGGTCATGTCATTATTTCTTGCGCACATTGGTGTCATAATATATATTTGTTTTCAAAATTCTTTTCAATTATTAATAATTAAAATTTTGAAATAAGTTAATAGTTTTTTAGTTTATAATCACAATTTAAATGATAGTGGCAAGTACATTGTATTTGATAGTCTGGGTTGCGTGTTTGATAATTCTTCAAATGTGTTTGATTTTTGCAATTAAGTTATTTTGACTAGATAAGTATAAGCTCCGTTTATATCTCAAATAACAGATGCATAGTGACATATGTTAATTCTGATGCACTAAATTCAATTAATGCTTATCAAGACCAAGAATGTGGTTCTTCCATCATATCATCACTTCTTGCGCACATGGGTGTTAGTGTATATATTTGTTTTCGAAATTCTTTTCAATTACTAAAAATAAGAATTTAGGAATAAGATAATATTATTTTAGTCTATAATCGCAACTTAAATCATAATGACAAATACATGTATTTGATTGGTTGAGTTGTGTGTTCGATAATTCTTCACGTGTTTATAGCGTAAATAACGAATGCAAGGTGAAATATATAAACTATGTACATTGAATTCAATTCATACTTATCCAGACTGAAAATATACTTCTTAGGTCATGTTATCACTGATGAGTGATCAGAAGGGAGAAACATTCACATTGGGTTAAACTTTCACCTAAAGATCAAAGACTCACCCAAATAAGTGAGAGAGACACCACATATTCGCCCAAAACCTTAAGGTGATACGTGTATGGGTCCTCTTACTTATAAAGTGTTTAACCTCCACTTTTCTAAGCAATGTGGGACTTAGAATTCACACTTATTTTTCCACATAACTCACACTTGTTTATCCATTATGCTCCCCCTCAAGCGGAATCTCTTTCATCCACATACTTGCACCTTCGTTGAGAGACACTCTTATCTTGTCATGGACACTTCAACGAAACACGCCTCCTGACCACTGTGTCAAGAAGACTTTTGACACAAGGAGTCAGTCTCTTACTCGAATTATCGGCTCTGATACCACTGATGGGTTATCATGAGTGAGAAGCATTCATATTAGGTCAAACACTCACCTAAAGATCAAAGACTCACCCAAGCAAGTGAGTGAGACACCACATATTCATCCAAAACCTTAAAGTGATGGGTGTATGAGTTCTCTTACTTATAAAGTACTTAACATCCATTTTTCTAAACAATGTAAGACTTAAAACTCACTTATTTTTTTCACATAACTCACACTTATTTCCCAACAATCACTTCTTCTGCACATGGGTGTCAAAATATAAATTTAATTTTAAAATACTTTTACATTATTATTTTGTTTTGTTTATTTGTGACAACCCTAAACCCTAGAGTATTTGGTTTAATTCATAGTTAGAAATAAGAATAATGTGTGTTTATTTAAGTGTTGTTTATAGTACAAATAACAGGTGCAGAGTGATAATTGTAAACTTGAATCACGCAATTTAATTTATGTTTATCAGTACTGAAATTATGAATTTTTAGCCAAAGATCGCACTTGCAAATCCTTATGTAGTTAATTCATTTTATGTTTATCAATATTAAAATTATAGTTCTTTGATCTGACCACCGCTTTTTGAAATTGAAATAACATATATGATAAAATGTATTTTTTAACCAAAAAGTACTTAATTCAATTGATAATTATAAATAAATACACTGATGGTTTGTTAAGTGTGATTTATAACACAAATAACATGCGTAAAGTAATCATAATAAATTCAAGAGTATTGAATTAATGCATAGTTATCAAAGACTATAACTATGGTTCTTAGCAACACTACTCTATATATGTAATCACATGAAAATATTAAAATAAATTTTCATTTAAAAATCTTTTTTAAATTATACAGTGACTCTTGTAAATTTATTTGTAAATTAAAATAAATGAAATCAATACACACTCAAGACTGTCATTATGGTTCTTCAGCCACATCATTGCTTCTCGCAAAAGTATTCACATAAATTTCAAAATATTTTTAGTTTTTAAAATTATTTTTAATTACTTTTGATCCTTTTAGTGGTAAGTTTCGAAATATATTTTTATTTTTAAAATCCTTTTTAATTACTTTCATATGTAATAAATGTAAATTTTATGGAATATTTATTTCTATTCTTATTTATGAATATAGTCACCATTTGTTTCCACATTTCAGTACTAGCATAGGTTTGTCTAGGAAAAGTCGAAATTTATGGTTTCTCATTTTTATTACAAATTATGATACTTGATTGTGGTTTTGCTTTTGCTTTGGACATGGTTATCAATATGTGATACAAGTACACAAATATGCCCTCTCTTTTTATTATAAATCATTTTTACATTTTTATAAGTATTAAAATTTTTAATGATTATTATATGAAAATGAGAAATTATAAAAAAATTTATGATAAATGAGAAAATAAAAAAATTTCTTACACTTTCGCAAGCATTAACAAATATAATAATCATTATAAGAAAATGATAAAAGTATTTTAAAAAATTTATAAAATTATCTTTTATTTATAGTATAAGAAAGATAAATTAAAAGTAACCTTAACAAATACTTAGAAATATAATAGGAAAAATAACAATAAATTATTAGAATTATAAAATGAATTATTTTAATACATACAATTTTTCTAAACCAATATATAATAAAAAAAAGTAGAAAAGGTAATAACTCAATTCTCTATAAGAAAGCGATTTGAATTGGAATTAATGTTTTTCAGTCTTGCCACAACATTCTAATGTTTTGATTATAATAGATTTTAAATTATATTTTTTATATTTTAATTGTAAATTTTAGAATATTAAGTTAATTTCCTTTTCTATCAAAAAGAAATTTTAAAAATGACAATTAATAACCAATATAAAAAAATGAAACTACTCTATAACCCTCTGGTAACTATACAATTAAAAAATATAAAATTGATTAAATTTTTATTTTATTTAAGAAAGAATATAATATAAAAAGTAAAAAATAAGGAAACAAAAAAATTAAAAATAAATAAATAAAATGGATTGAAATTATTGTACTTGAGCCACATCGCCGAATTGTATATATTACATAAATATCCACTAGGTACTAGTTTTTTATTCTCTTATTTGTCATGTTAAAGAAGTATAATATTTGTAATTCTCATACTTGTTTTAGGATGCTCTAGACGAATATTCGAAGATTTTGAGATATTCGTAAATATTTGTAAATATATATGGATACTATTATTGAAATTTTTTAAAATATAACTAAAATGATTATATTTTCTTTTTAAAGACATATAAAAATATTTTTAAATTTAATACATAATAATAATAAGGGTTAATTATACAACACCATCTTTAACATAGGCGAATTTAGCTTTATTCCCTGTAATATTTTTTTTTTTGGATTTTCCCTATAATATATTTTTTCTTTTACCCTAAGCATGCAATTAGAACACTAAATTTGGAGAGTAAACCAAATATATATATATATATATATATATATATATATATATATATATATATATATATATATATATATATATATATATATATATATATATATATATATATATATATATATATATATATATATATATATATATATATATATATATATATATATATATATATATATATATATATTATATGGTAGGGCTTACGTGGCGTAGTGAAGACCAGGACGTGGTCTTCGCCCTAGTCCAACTGCTCCTTGATCTCCGGAAAGTGGGTTTGACCTGCTCTTTCGGAGGAGGGCGGTTGGTTGATGACGTGTCCCCGTAGAGGGGAGCACGGGGAGAACGTGCGCCAGGCACGTTGTTCTCCCCGCGGAGGGGAGCTCGCGAGGTTCCCCGGAGGGCGTTGTTCTCCCCGCGAAGGGGAACGCGAGGATGTGGAGGAACCAAAGGTCTCGCTTCGACGCACCGGGGTGTGTCATGTTCGGCCGATAAGAGAGGACGTCGAGATGCCGTCGGATGCGTCGCCTGTGGCTGAGGGCGTGCCCTGCCCGTCCTGTGGGACGTGCGTGCCCGGTGTGGCCAGTTCACTTATTGGGCCGTGCATGGTATTGGGCTGGACCGAGGCTGGACCCAGACCAGAACAATATATATATATATATATATATATATATATATATATATATATATATATATATATATATATATATATATATATATATATATATATATATATATATATATATATATATATATATATATATATATATATATATATATATATATATATATATATATATATATATATATATATATATATATATATATATATATATATATATATATATATATATATATATATATATATATATATATATATATATATATATATATTACATGGTAACTTTGACGCTTAGGAGGCAAAAAACATAGAATTTTAACATTTTAAAGGGAAATTTTAAAAAAATTATAGGGATAAACCGAAATTCGCCTACATTACAGGGGATGTGTATATTAAACCATAATAATAATAATAATAATATTAATAATAATAATAATAATAATAATTATTATTATTATTATTATTATTATTATTATTATTATTATTATTATTATTTTAATATTTCATATTTCCTTAAATGCTCAATTGGGTGTCAGTCGAGGTCGACTGAGTTCCTAAACCGAAATTCGCCTACATTACAGGGGATGTGTATATTAAACCATAATAATAATAATAATAATAATAATAATAATAATAATAATAATAATAATAATAATAATTATTATTATTATTATTATTATTATTATTATTATTATTATTATTATTATTATTTTAATATTTCATATTTCCTTAAATGCTCAATTGGGTGTCAGTCGAGGTCGACTGAGTTACTATGTACTCTATCTTTTGTTAGTAGAAAAATTAGACCTCCTGAATGCTCTAATAATAATAATAATAATAATAATTATTATTATTATTATTATTATTATTATTATTATTTTAATATTTCATATTTCCTTAAATGTTCAATTAGGTGTCAGTCGAGGTCAGTTCCTATGTACTCTATCTTTTGTCAGTAGAAAAATTAGACCTCCTAAGTCCTTTAATAATAATAATAATAATAATAATAATAATAATAATAATAATAATAATAGAGTGGGGATCAATTTACTCCTTGAGTAAGTTTTTTTAACTTACTCTACATCATAGTCTTTAAATTGAATCTAATCTAGTGGTTAAATTAACATTTTTACTTATAACCATTCGATTAAATCTAATTTAAAGACTATGATTGTGGAGTAAGTTATAAAAACTTACTCTTTGAGTAAGTGGATCCTCACTCATAATAATAATAATAAAGATAATAATAATAATAATTGTGATATTAACAACTTTACGCATCTAGGTTAACATAGCTCCTGTGATTTCCGGCAGCCACCGTTGCACTATCCAGTGACCTCAAATCGACCCTGAAGTAGGGTTTTTTCAATGAAACTACCTCTTGAGATGGTTTAAACTCCTGCTCTTCGGAGTAGGGACCAAATCAAGTAGGTTTTGCTCTAGTTACGTGACTTGTGATGAAGAAAGGCAGAGGTAGGCCGAAGAAGACTAAGGTCACATCTCCAAGTGCGTTTACCCCATTCACTGTGGATAAACTAGAAACTAGTACGAAAGGTGAGAAAGTAAATTTGGAAAATGTTCAAGCTGAAGATAGTAGTGAAAAGGAAGTTATAGCCCAAACCCTGGAAAAAGAATTCGACTCTAGCTAATAAGGATTCCAAAAAGGAAGAGAGTAATAACAAGTTGTGGGTTGACGTAATCAATGGAAATCGCATTCCATCGAATGGAATGACTATTGAGTTTGTTGCTTCAAAAATGGTGGAAGAAGATTTAGAGGTGGAAATTGAAGGAGAGGACGTAGATAACGAGATGAAATACCGGGAAGCATCGCTGATGATGTATGTCATAGGAAAAGATCTTAGTATGAATGATGTTAAGCAATTCATGACTAGGTTTTGGAATTTCATAAAACTGTCTGAGATGTTTTACCATGAAGAATGGTATTTTATCATACGCTTTAAGTCATTTGCTAGTAAAGAGACGGTGCAGATGAAGGGCCCTTATACTATATACAACATGCCAATGATCCTAAAAGATTGGAGTCAAGATTTCAACTTCAAGAGAGACATGCTTAGGACCCTTCCCATTTGGGTTACTCTTCCTCATATCCCTTTGCATCTTTGGGGGCCTAAAAGCTTAAGTAAAATAGGAAGTGTGCTTGGTAATCCTCTTTTCACTAATGAATGCACAACAAACAAACTGAGGATTTCAAATGCGAGAATTTTGGTGGAAATAGACATTACTCAGAAGTAGAAGGACTCCATAATAGTTAGAGATCGCGAGGGGAACAAAATGCAGCAGCTGTTGGTGTAAGCCCTAGAGGCCAATACTTTTTGGTACTTGTATCGGATTATTCGTTTAATAATAAAAGGCATTTCTTTATTATGTTTGTCTTTCAGAATAATAAAGTCCCTAGAATAGTTAGTCTGTTTAATGAAATGTTAAGTGTGACTTAATCATGAGATCTCATTAAACATAAAGACATTATTCTTAAAATATCCGTAGTCAAGCTTTATTGCAAAGTGGGATAACATTAAAAGCATTGAGACTATTATGAAGATAGACTGATGATCACATCTCATGGATCATGGATAAAAAGTTATCAAGTCTTGACATAGGTATAAATATTAGGAGTAATATTTATACCGGATTGACCCGCTATGAGAATACTACATAGTATGTTATGCAAAGTGTCATAAGTTATTCTCATGGTGATAATGGTGTATTACCACCCTTCGACCTGAAACCACTATGGACCCTAGATGTAGAGTCGGGTGCTTTATTGCTGATCAAACATTATCCGTAACTGGATGATCATAAAGACAGTTGATGGGCACTCCACGAAGCATGCTGAGGGACATGAGTGTCCTAGATGGAATTTGCCAATCCTGCATAATAGGAGAAATGTCTAAGGGCCCAATATTGAACTGGACAAGGATGACACAGTGTATGCCTTGTGTTCAATATAGACATAAGGGCAAAAGGGTAATTGTACAAACATATATTATCACGAAAAAGGTTTTGTCAGATCACATGACATTTTCGTGACTTGGGTAGCAGTGATGTGTTGCTAGATACCGCTTACTGTTTATTATGTTAAATATATAATTTAATATAATTACCAACGTTACGAAATCCTACAGGGTCACACACATAAGGACAGTTTGATGAGAGATAGAGAAATCAAAGGAACACCGTAAGGTACGGTGCACTTAAGTGAAAAATAGAAATTCGGATAATATAATAATAATTATTGTTATTTTATAATGGTTATAAAATAATAATAAAATAAATATATTTATTATAATAATAGTTATTATAATAATATATAATATTATTATGGATCATGTGAATTGGGTTTTTAGCCCGCAGCCCACAAGAGAGTCTATAAAAGGAACCCTTGTGATGAAGCTTTCACTTGATGCAATTTCGTTTTTGATTCTCTTTTCTCACTCAAATAATTCCGTTCGTAAGCAGCTAGCACTGTGACCGGAAGCTGTTCGTGTGGACTGAGTAGAGGCGTTGCACTTCATCAACGCTTGTGATCGCTGCATCAAAGATCTGAATCGCCACAAAGAGGTAACGATTCTATCACTGACCATGCTCATTCGTAAGGATCACTAAAGGAAATTTTTGTTTTCCGCTGCGTTTAGATCGCAATTTTCCTTCAGTGGTATCAGAGCCACTTACGAAACCATGGATCTGATAGCTGTTAAATTTCCGTCTTTTCTGTATTTGATTCGATTAAAACACAGAATGAATTTAACAATAAACGATTAATTAAATTTGGCATTTGTTGTGTACGATTTGGATGATTGATGTTGATTATGCTTCAGAAACCGACATTAGTATGGTGAAGTTGTGCGATACATTGATCATCCATAGGTTACACAATTAGATCGATCACTTTTATATAAGATATAAGAAATTCTGATGCAAAGATGGTATATGGGATATACTGTTTTGATTTCATCCATTCAATCACATAAGGATTGTAATTCTTTTGAAAGATCATCATTTTCATTCGCTTCGGAATCCGACGTTAGTATGGTGAAGCAATGACATGTTGATCTATCATATTGAGTTATCAATCGAGTTGTGTTTGACGGCATGAAATTGTTGCATTAGGATTAATGGCAGTACAAGTGTTGTATTGCCGCAGACTTTTCCGGTTGGGGTTGTAAATGCACAAAAGTTGTGCAGGAAACGACGTGAAATACAATGAAGTGTTCATAAAATTTTTCGCCGGGGCGCTGCCCGGGCAGCGGAACCCCCGGCTAAGTCTGCAAAGTGTGATCAATCAGCCGAAATTTAATTTAGTTTATTTAATTATCGGAATTTTAAACTAATAATAAAAATGTGTTTATTATTATTTATTTGTGGTGATCAGTTATGGCCTTAGTTTATCCTTTATTATTGTTTTGGGATTTTTGAATACGGCCTGCGTGTCGTGCCTCTCTCTCAATCTCTTTATGTAACTTCTTTTCTCATCTCACTCCCTCGTATGTAAAACGAGTTTTCTTATATGTAATGTAATATTATGTTATGAAAAAAAGGAAGTATTCAATATTAAAGGAGGATAACCTTGGAGATCATGCTTGGAGAAGCTTAGATCGTTATTAGGTTAGCTTAGGTTCTCTCATTGGCTTGAGAGAACAATTGCGTTAGGGGCCATAATTGTATCTTTTTTATATGTATGTTGATGCATGTAATTGTATGTTGATGCATGTGAGAGACGTTTTGCATGTTAAGCCGGTGAGATCAAACTAATAACAAATTCCCTCAAAATTAAATATTAAGTTTATGCCTTCCAATTTTTAGCACTCATCAAGACTAGTATCGAGCATTGTAGGTTTCGCCTACGCGAGGTGCATGTTCTATATTAGTAAGGTGTGATGGGATAATTGTAATATCCAATTGCTAAAACAATGGGTCAAACTTAACTAAACAAATTATAATAAGATTATATATGTTTAGAAGCAAGAATTGGGAATGATTCATGTGATGGATCAGAATAAGGAGTTATTCACCCAATTGAAAATATTCGAGAGTTGTATGAGATACAATTGGAAGGAGTTCCTACCCAAATAACTTAGTTTTGTGTAATCAGCCTAACGCTGACTTAAAACAAAGTGAAACATGGATCTCGACCCACTAGAAAGTCTTCCAACGGGATTTTCCGAATCAAATGATGAGGGTCATTTGTTTTGAATAAAATAGTGGGAGCATATTTGATTAAAGGCCTAATTAAATATGTTGTTTTAATGATACTTATATTTTCATATTTCTCTTGTAGATTACCATGACAACAAACACATCGAACAATATTTTGCGATCCATCCTAGATAAGGAAAAATTGTCTGGGACAAATTTCCTGGATTGGCACCGTAATCTGAGGATTGTCCTCAAGCACGATAAGAAGCTGTATGTCTTGGAGACACCAGTTCCTGAGGAGGAACCTCCTAGTTCTGGACCAAAGGCAGAAAGAGATGCTTATAAGAAGCATTTCGATGATGCCAATGAAACCGCTTGCCTCATGCTTGCTACCATGAACTCTGAGTTGCAAAAGCAACACAAGAACATGTCTGCGTTCGATATGATCGGACATCTGAAAATGCTTTATCAAGAGCAAGCAAGAAATGAGAGGTTTCAGGTTTCAAAGTCCCTTTTTAACAACAAGTTAGCTGAGGGAGCCCCTGTAAGTCCCCATGTACTCAAGATGATTGGGTATGTGGAGAACCTTGACAAATTAGGGTTTCCCCTTGGAAAAGAACTTGCGATTGATCTGATCTTGCAATCGTTGCCAGAGAGCTTCAGTCAGTTTGTCCTGAATTTCAATATGAATGACTTGGACAAAAGTCTTCCAGAACTGCTAGGCATGTTGAGAACTGCTGAGCAAAATATGAAGACAAAAGGGAAATCCATTCTGATGGTCAGTAATGGAAAGAAACAGAACAAGAGGCCCATCAAACAGGGTGGTAGAGGGAAAGGCAAGGAAGTTGCCAAACCCAAACCCACTCCTCCTGTTTTGAAGCCTAATGGAGGAATAGCAAAGGAGGGCACTTGCTTCCATTGCGGTAAGACCGGACATTGGAAGAGAAATTGCCCAAAGTACCTGGAAGATAAGAATAATGGAATAGAGACTTCAAATTCAGGTATTTTTGTTATTGAAATTAATTTATCTACTTCTGCATCATGGGTATTAGATACTGGATGCGGTTCTCACATTTGTACTAATGTGCAGGGGCTAAAAAGGAGTAGAGATTTGGCAAAAGGTGAAGTTGACCTACGAGTTGGCAATGGAGCAAAGGTTGCTGCTTTAGCTGTAGGAACTTATGTTTTAACTTTACCTAGTGGTTTAATAATTCAGTTAGAGAACTGTTATTATGTACCTGCAATTAGCAGGAATATTATTTCCGTTTCTTGTTTGGACAAGTTTGGTTTTTCATTCATAATAAGGAACAATTGTTGCTCCATTTATTTGAATGATATATTCTATGCTACTGCAAAAATGAATAATGGACTATATGTCCTTGATCTTGAAATGCCAATTTATAACATTAATACTAAAAGGTTGAAACCTAATGAGTTGAATCCAACTTACCTTTGGCACTGTCGATTAGGCCATATAAATGAGAAACGCATTTCCAAACTCCATAAAGATGGACTCTTGGACTCTTTTGATTATGAATCATATGAGACATGCAGATCTTGTTTAATTGGAAAGATGACAAAGTCCCCATTCACAGGAAAAGGTGAAAGGGCTAATGATCTTTTGGCACTCATACATACTGATGTATGTGGACCACTGAACATACCAGCCAGAGGAGGTTTTCAGTACTTCATCACTTTTACTGATGACTTCAGTAGATACGGATATGTGTATTTAATGAAACACAAATCTGAGTCCTTTGAAAAGTTCAAGGAATTCAAGAATGAAGTACAAAACCAACTAGGTAAGAATATTAAAGTTCTTCGATCAGATCGAGGCGGTGAATATTTAAGCCTAGAATTTGATGACCATCTAAAAGAGTATGGGATTCTATCCCAACTTACTCCTCCTGGAACACCACAATGGAATGGTGTATCTGAGAGAAGAAATCGAACCTTGTTAGACATGGTCCGATCCATGATGAGTCACGTCGATCTTCCAAACTCCTTTTGGGGACATGCATTATTAACAGCAGCTTACACACTTAACCGTGTTCCATCCAAAAAGGTTGATAAGACACCATATGAGATATGGAGTGGTA